GACCCAGAGGGCTCCCACTCAGTCCCCAAAGAGCTTTGCCTGGAGGGTACATCTCCCGTGAGGTTGAAACATCTCCTTGAATGAAATAAAATAAAAAAATAAAAAACACCTAATTTAGAAGTCCATTTCCCCCCCTGAAATCTAGTTTTTAAATGTTATAATTAATTTTTTTTAAATACAGAATTAATTTTAAAAGTCCTAGTTCAAGGCCCTTGGTTTAAGACCAAGCATGAGCTGGGCAGCCACCCAGAGGCAGGGTCCAGACTGGATGCTCTGTCACAGCACAGCCCCCACGTCCCACCCAGTGCCTCCTCATGGATGTTCAGGGCATAACTTCAGCCCCCATCAAGGTATGGAGTGGAGACAGGGTTTTTCAGGGTTGCCCTTTCCTTTAGCAAACCCCCAGAAGCTGAGGTTTTGAGACCTACATGTTCCCCCCTCCCCCCACAGAGCACTGATTCAGCCCTCCAGGCTCCAGCCCTGCATGCTGAAGAGCTGCAGTTGGCCTCTCCCAGAGAAGCATCTCTCTGAAGGAGAGCAAGTGTGCATTCCCTGAGCCACTCTAGGTGGCTACTGCCCTCTCATTGCCTCAGGGTCCTCAGTGGTTAAAGAAAGTTTGTAACAGAGCCCCAGGAGGGCTCATTAAGACCCTGCTCTGTGACTCTGAGGGCAGTGCACTCTCTGTGAGTCAGTTTTTTCACTGTAATGGAGGACTACTGTGAGGACCCTCACCATTCCCCAATGATGCCCCGAGACTCTGCTTTGTGACCTTGGCAGCAAACCCCACTCTGTGCAATGTCCTCATCTCTTTTAAGGAAGGAGTAAAGGGTAAACCAGGAAGGCTCCTTCAGTACTCACCTGTGACCCGAGCTGGCCACTGCCATCTCTTTGCCTTAGCAGCCTCAGCATTAATAGAAAACAAGTAACTGGGCCACCAAGAAAATGTGCAGAGACCTTTCTACTCCCCACACCTTCTGAGCCATTGTCCTTTCTGCTCCACCAAACACACCTGTCCTCCATCCCCACTGGATCATACTGTGATGTGTTGCAGCCGCCCTGTCACCCACTCCTCTGCCCCATCAGATGAATCCCCCCTGAATGTCACTTCCTTCTCATCTAGATGGCTTATTTGGTCCCCTGTAGTCAGACGCCCAGGCCCCCTCATTACCCAAGCTCCCATCCTAGCAGGGAATGCACAGCTTAGACGGGGAGGTGGCCACCCCAGGTCACACAGCAAGACTTATGGAGTCTTCTTGGGATACCTGTTACTACTTCCTTAATACATATATAAACGCAGCACACAGGGGGGAGTAGCTGCCCAAGGTCACACAGCGGGGCCTCAGTGAGCCATCAAGGGGGCCCCATTACTGGTTCTCTGTGACCTTGTGGGACACTGCGCCCAAGGTCACACAGCGGGGCCTCAGTGAGCCAACAAGGGGGCCCCATTACTGGTTCTCTGTGACCTTGTGGGACACTGCGCCCAAGGTCACACAGCGGGGCCTCAGTGAGCCAACAAGGGGGCCCCATTACTGGTTCTCTGTGACCTTGTGGGACACTGCAACCAAGGTCACACAGCGGGGCCTCAGTGAGCCATCAAGGGGGCCCCATTACTAGTTCTCTGTGACATCGGGGGACACTGCAGCACACAGACAGGAGATACCACCAACACAGCAAGCATACAATTAAGTAAAAGTTACCTGGTTCATTACCAAAATGAACAGGTAGTTCAGTTAATGATTTTAATGATTTTTCATGTATGGGAAGATGCGAGAATCTTGGTTTATTAAAATTCTTCCTCAGATATGCATCTAACTATCTAAGGGCCTGTTTTTCCAAGGCATGGAGTGCTTCATCCTGTTTTTCATCCTGAATTCCTTTTGGAGCCCACCATTTGTCAGTGGGGGCTTCCTAGGTGGCTCAGGTGTAAAGAATCCACCTGCCAAGCAGGAGGCTCAGGAGATGCATGTTCCATCTCTGGATTGGAAAGATCCCCTGAAGGAGGAAATGGAAGCCCATTCTAGAATTCTTGCTTGGAAAATCTTGTGGACAGAGGAGCCTGGTGAGCTGCAGCTCATGGGATCACAAAGAGTCTGAACATGACTTAGCAACTAAACATGCATGCATGCACATCAGTCAATGACTGCAGTGCTAAAGACTTGATCCTGTAGAACTGGGGGGGGTGGAAAATAATCTTTATTTTATAAGTCTATACAGCTCTTTTAGAGTGAATGACAATGCAATTTTTTTGCACGTATAAGTCTTCTAGTTCAGATTCTCCTCTCTAGTAGTAGAAAGGTTGAAGAAGTGGTCTTTTACTAGTCCTTTTACTTTTATTCTTTTATCCTCAAACCCCTCAAATGCCCTCCCAACACACACACACAAACACACACACACACACACATGCGAGAAAGGTAAATTTTATGCAAGTAACAAAGACACAAAATCACTATGCCTTAAAGGAGATAGAAATAAAAATCTGAAAGTTGGCAAAGCCTGCATCCTCTGCTCCCTCCCATCCTGTTACTACCCCTGTGTGGCTCCATTGTCAAAGGCATTGCCATCCTTGCTCTGCAAGGGAGCCAACAGGAAGACCAGGGCAGAAGCATGGGGAAAGGACAGGGAGCAGAGAATCTGTCCTTGAAGGAATCTTGTAGAGCTTACTATGACATTTCAAGTTATATTTCTTTGGTCTGGTCCTAGTAACATGACTGCACATAGTCACAATGAAGCTCCAGAAGTGTCATTTTAATTTTCTATAGTGTGTTCCAAGCAGACACCTTTGTATGTCACTACTGAGAACAGAGGGGAAAATAAAGACAGGGAGACAACCAGCAAGCTCCTCCCCCACCCCACCCAGAATGTGAGGGGTTTCATTCTCTGGAGTGCCCTTGCATTTTCCTTTCCTTCTCCACCTACCCTATGCTAACTTTCTCTCTTCCTCTTAATCGTCTAAAAAAAATCTTATTTTTGTGTATCCAAACACACTTTTTCTGCTCAAAGGAAAGAGGGAGAGCAATTAGAAGACTAACTGACTTTCACTATTCAAGTTACTGAGTATTGTTAAATGAAACATTTCCTGCTATATTGGTGGGCAAGAAATGTCACAGTCACCAGTTATTTGGGGCCTCCAATGTGAATGAGAGCCCCCAAAAAGGAATGTGATTCCTGTGACCTGGCAGATGCTACCACCCCCCCTCAATTTTTGCTGAGGAGCTTGCAGGGATGCAAGAAACAGCCAGCTGCCACACCTGCCACCCTGTAGGGTAAACAAGGAGAACAAGGAATTGAGGCCATAAATAATCAAGAGACAGCATTTGGCCTAGATGGCTGAAGTACATATGAAAGGAATAAGTTCAGTGAGCCCGGAGACTTTCATCTTCCCATGCATAGAAGAATACTAAATTTCCTAACTGGATATCTAGTTTTCCTTACTTGTTTACTTAACGATAATCTTTGATATTCAGACTACCTGCCCCCTTTGTTGCAAACTTGTATATCTTCTGACTCCCTCTTCTGCATCCTTGGAGTAGTCTTCTCAGGGCTTCTGAGATACTGCCTCCTGGGCTTGGAGTCCTTAACATTACAACCAAATAAAATAACTCTCTACTAATTTTTTAGTTGACAGTTTCATGGGTTTGAGGCTTCCCTGGTGGTACAGATGATAAAGAATCTGCCCACAACATGGAAGACCAGAGTTAGACACCTGGGTAAGGAAGGTAATCTTGCCTAGAGAATTCCGTGGACAGAGGAGCGTGGTTTTGCTACAGTCCATTGGGTGGCAAAGAATCAGACACAACTGAGTGACTAACACTTTCACACTTTTTCACTTTCATGGATTTGAATTAGGAAGATCTGAGTCATATTCTAATCCTCTGACTTTGTGTATGCCGCCTAAACTGAGATCATAGTTTTAATTGAACATAAAATGTCCTATTTGATTCTAAGCAGTGAAATAGGGTTTTGTTTGCTAGTAAGCTGATATTTAATTTCCTTCCCAAGTGAGCTAAACTTCAGTGATAGTTACAATAGTGTCTCATTCAAACAATGTTTAGAACATTTAATACTGTCTGGGAAGATACCAGCCTATGACAGTAGGAGAATCAATAATTTAAAGGCAATTTTAGCTTGAAGCAGTGTCCTGGACATCAAGGCAGCTGTTTTTGCACTTTACAAAGCACTATAGGTATCTTTAGAATTTCCAAAGAGTGGTACAAACCAGGCAGAGCCCACCTACCCCAGTCCATCCCTATTTTATCTGTATTCTATGGATTAGGCTTCTATATAAGATATGGTTTAAAGAAAGATTTTAACTACTTTTAAATGTTTGATCTCATTGCTCCCAGCTCAAAATCCATTTCTTGTGGACATTACAGAGTTGAACTTCCTTAGACTTTCAGGAGTTGGTGATGCAGTGTAGAAAGAGATGGGACATATGTGAAAACTTCTGCTAATTTGTCATCATTACATATTTTTGAAAACCTTAATTAAATCATTTGGAAACATCACAATGATGTTTGAAAAATAGATCCTCAATATGAGTGAGATTATATTATCAAATATCTTTGTTTCCCTGGCAGTCACAATCTATGTGTATAATTGAAAATTACTTCATTGTATTTTTAGTCATTTAAATTTTGTTTTCTAACTCTTAAGTCTTTTTTTATTCTGCAAATATATTTGTTGTCCGCCACCCCCCCCCCAAAAAAAAAGAAAAACCCTGAATATTTGTGTCTAGGTCCACAAACATACACAGAGGCAATGACCACCGAGTGACAAGACTTGCTGGATTTGCACATCACTGTTGCACCACAACTTTATTGTTTGTTTCTATTAGAATCCTCTCAGTAGCCCCATGTCATCTTCAAATATTTCATGGGGCAAAAAAGAGAGAAAGCATTTGTAGTCTTATTATTATTAGAAAACTCCATCTTTTCTTTCTGGCAAATCAGCAACTTAAAAAAAAAACTCACACTGTTACAGAAATAGTTAAGGGTTCCACTCTAAATAAAATATTCTAAGAATTTATTTCTCTCAGTATCTGTTTCTTCGTTTTCTAACTCATATTTTTTCATGGCAACAAAATACCGAATGAAAGTTTCTCCTAGAGCCTGTCTCAGACATTGATCTTCCTCTAGTGCCATGAGGGCATGTTCCAGTTTCAAAGGGATCTCAGAAGGCTTGGACTGATGAAGGTCTGTGCTGTTCTCTGGACCAGCCAAAACACCATCATCGCTGTAAAGTCCATCCATGCCTGCAGCAACAGTGGCAGCCAGTACCAGGTAAGGATTTGCTGTGGCTGAGCCCAGTTTATTTTCTATTCTAGTGCCTTTCTCACCATGACACTTAATATTAAAAGCACAGCTGTTATCATTGTACCCCCACGTTGTCGGCACACTCTCCTTCAGGTCTTTGCTCTCTTTAGAATAACGCTTCCTGCAGCTAACAGCAGGAGCCATCAAGCAGCTGAGGGCAGCAGAGTGCTTCAAGAGGCCTGCCAACCATTTTTTCCCAGTAATCGTGAGTTGCTCAATTCCAGAACTGCTGCAGAACATGTTTTTCTTCTCATCGACATCCCAGAGACTATGAGACAAAATTCCTGAATTACAGAATCCAGTCTCAATGAAAAAGCTGGTGATATAATTATACTTCCTTGCCACTTCTTTGACAGCCATTCTGAGGGTAAATGCATTATCAGCTGAACTGATGCCAAATTCAGGCAGAAAACAGATTTCCATCTGGCCAGGCCTGGTAGAGGAGGAAAAGCTCTCAACATTGGCCCCAGTGTGATACAAACCATCCACGAGTTCCTGGATGAATGGCTGGTCATGATTATTTAGCAGTGCTGAAGCAGGAAGAGATATGGTTTTTGAATTGATAATTTCAGGTATACCAAAAATGCAAAAATCATAAATGAAAGCAGAGAGCAGGGAGAATCCAGCATCCTGCAGCTGGCTCAGCTGCCTTTTGGCGATGTGCCTCGGGGAGGTCAGAAGAGGCTCCCCGGTCACAGTGAACGTGTCACAGATCACTCTGGCTGTTCTCTTGGCCCACGGCAGAACTCTGAAGGTTGATAGCTCTGGCATCAGTACTATGTCACTATTAAAACACGTTGCTCTAATGTGATCCACTTCATTGTCCTTAGGATTTGGTATCAATTCAAGGTAACCTCGGGGCATGTAAACACCATGAATCACTTTTTCCTAAAGAAGTTAAAGGACAGAGCAATCAACTTTTGAAGCTTGAAACCAAACAAAAAAGTTGGGGGATGAGAAGTGGGAGTGGGATAGCATTCCTAATGAGAAAAAAAAAAAAAAAACAACCCAACATGCTTCATCTGTTAGTTGAAACTAGCTTATTACAGATACATTTTAAATAGTTTAAAATAAGATTCTCAAAGGTAATTTATAAACAAGTCAATAGCTCTAGTCTTTAGCCTTTGGAGACTTTATATGCTCATGCAAACAGCACTCATAAACAAAAGCTATAGCATTAAAGAAAATGTCTTTATAGCAAATGAAAAAGGTAAAACCTAAAGGAATTATTTGAAATGATTATAACCAAAAGTACTTTTTAAAGTCACTTTTTATCACATGGCATAGTTGCTAATACTGCCAATAAGGCTTTATTGCAACTTATTCTATTGTAATCCTCCAAAAAGAGTCAGTAGACCGTCTGCAGTCCTTCTCAGAGAGCTCACTGGTCACACACAGGACACATGGGACAGGGGAGCCAGGGTTGCTGACCATGGCTCTTCTCTCCTCACTCACCTTTACAGTCCACTAATGAGCAAACTACCTCATAGGCACAGAGTTCCAAAAACCTTGCCCATGAATGTGGACCTAAGTTATAGTTTCCAGAATGTTGTAACCTTCAAGTCAGCATGACTTGAGTATCACCAAATCTATTTCTAGTCCTAATTCTGTCATTAATTGCTTGTGTGAAGTCAGACAGGTCATGGTACTATATACATGCCTCAGCCGCCATATCTATGAAACAAAAGTGTTAGATTAAATGATTGCTAATGTATTTTCTGGTCAAATACCTGGTGGATTCAATAGATTTTAGTTTTTATTTACCTTTTCTATGTACCACACAACTGGGAAATAATGAAGTATGAAGTTGAATAGACACATAATTTTTTTTTCTAGAAATTGTGTGGCAGGAATGTCAATAAGGTTTCATGTGTTGAAATTTACATTAATGGGTAGAGAAAAAGTTGACTGTAAAGTTCAGTTCCCGTGATGTCCGTGAACATGGTGAGGTTAATTCTGCAAGCCAATTCTGTTTTTATATTAAATACCTCTAAATCTCAAAGAGCATGGCTACTGAAGAGCAGCTGGTACTAGAAGAGGTGATTCTTCTGCAATTGGTGTTGAGTCACTGCCTCCTTCACTTTCCACCATCTCTACACAATTTCAAATGTTATTTGACTTATGTGATCTGAATCTACCTTTACCAGTAATAAAGTTGATAAGTCAAGCACTATTCAATGACTGTTTAATTTTTCAACCTACTCACGGACTTGTATATATAAATTTCATGTGTGTGTGTGTGTGTTCAGTTCAGTTCAGTCGCTCAGTCGTGTACGACTCTTTGCAACTCCATGAATTGCAGCATGCCAGACCTCCCTGTCCATCACCAGCTCCCAGAGTTTACTCAAACTCAAGACCATCGAGTCAGTGATGCCATCCAGCCATCTCATCCTCTGTCGTCCCCTTCTCCTCCTGCCCCCAATCCCTCCCAGCATCATGGTCTTTTCCAATGAGTCAACTCTTCGCATGAGGTGGCCAAAGTATTGGAGTTTCAGCTTCAGCATCAGTCCTTCCAGTGAACAC